ATAGATTAAGAAATTTTTTAATCGACTTAACTTTTACCTCGTGCGTTGTGAGGTAGTAAGAATTTTTTACGATAGCACGTTGATAATATGCGTGTCAAAGGAGCCACGATTCCATATGAACTCCAAACATATAAAACCATGTTTTTATCACCTGAGGAATGAGGTGAGATTGAGAAAGATCGAGATCCAGATAAACTAAATATTCCAGTAGAAGCACCTGCTAGTATTTAACATGCCAAATAGAACAACATATTATAATGTTGTTCACTCATGGAACTCAAATATTTGGTGCTGGTTGTAAGGCTACAAAAGGGAGCAGCTTATTTGAAGAACTATTTTGAGCCCATGAACATACGACCCCATGCAGTGATAGTACGTGATGGTCTTTTACGACAACAGATCCATGATTCGCAATGCGATGTGAAAGATGAGTTACGACCATTATTGGGATGAGATCCGAGCAGCAAAAAGAAAAATGTATTGCCTCTATAAATATTTTTGTAAAAAGATTGATGGCGAAAGCCATGATTAATGTATTGAGAGAATAAGTAAAAATGCTTGAGAGAGATTGTAATTGGGAGAGAGAGATGAGAATGAGAGAAAGTGAGAAATAGAGAATGTAAAGCATTCAAAGGCCAAGTGGAAGATGTTGGGTTCATGTGGTCTTTAAAGGCCTTATGAGTGCTTGTAAAATGAAATGATATAGTGGAACATGAACTCAATAAGAGTGTGGTCCCACGTGAACCATACTAAGCAAACGATGGTTTGCTGATACCGATCTGTGCTTAACGATTTAGGCCAGTCAGTTGGAAAAAACCCATGTTACCTGGGCATAAAGAACAAACCGATGAGGATTTATGCGTTAGCCCTTGATGAGGTCGGAGAACATGCCTAGATGAGTGAGTTGAGGGACTGTGTGACCTTTGTGTGTGATAGTGGCCTATAGAGACAGGGGCCAAAACCTCATCCATGTACTATCACACGACATGCATATCAATAGATTGTTCGGAAAAGCTAGAAATCCACCTTTTAGGGTGAAGCGTATGCATGTACGAGAGATACCCTTATGCGCCATAGAGCTGCAGTCACATAAGATCTTGGTGACCATGATTTGTCTCTAGGAGAGGACCTGAAATCCACAGACTGGGATTGCGATCCTTTGGCTCATCGGCCGGACTTTGGTGACCCACTAATGAGCCCCTACTTGGACTGTAGGTCATGGTGAAACACTGGGTCGATCTGATAAAGAAAGTGTGGTCTGTAGTCCACAGTTGAAGGTCGAGTGGCCCATGATTGTTGACACTTAAACTATATGGATCATTTTCCCATCAAATTAATTTAATTGCATTCGTTTTATGATGGAAATTATTTTAAGATTATTATTTGAATTTTTATGAACCCCTAGATATTTTATTTATAATTTTTGGATTTATAAAATTAAAGATATTGATTTTACAAGTGTTTAAATATTCAAATAATATTCTAAAATATTTTTATTAATTTTAACTATATAAAAATATAATGGGGGCCTATTGTACACATGTGCCCGCCATATTTTTAGAAGGTGGGGCCCATGACTGCCTCCCTTGGGTGGCACACCCCACCCTTATTCTCTTTCCTATTTTTTGGTGATGTGACATGTGGTCATATGGTTGGAAGATATTGACTTGAGATATCTTTGAAAGATTTTGTGGAAAGATTGAGTAGACTTGTGCTATTTTATAGTATGCCCAATTTTTTGATTAAATTTAATTTATTTAATTTCTATTGATGGGAAAATAGTTTAGGAAAAGGGGATAATGGTTCATGCACCTTCCATAAGATGGCCCATTTATGGAATGGATAGCTCAGATCTCTCACCCCACAAGTCACCCTTGATCGATGGTCTATGTTCAATCTCACAAGAAGAAGCAAGCCAAAGAAAACCCTAAAAAACCCTAATCTTATTCAAAGCCTATAAAAATAGATTGTCTCTACCCAAAATGTCTACATCTTATCTTTCTATTTCTCTCTCTTAAGAAAGTTTCTCTCTCTCATATTTGATTTCTCTCTCTGTCTCTCCTACATTGTGAAAGAACCTAAGGGTTTAGGTTATGGAGTTATTCTCTCTCCTATCTCTCAAATATGGATTTATGGCTAAGGGTTTTAGGGTTTAGTAAAAAGAAAATCCATCTCGCTCAAACTAAGTTTCGTAGAGAATTCAACTAGGGTTTGAGTTTGTGATCAAAGGGGTTCATGTTCGATTAGTGTGGCTTGACCGAAATTTGCTTTCCCGGTTCGAGATTCAAGCTAGACCGTTGATCTTGCGCCATCGCGGTGTGGGGTGTAATAAACCCGGTTGAGGTAATCTCCAGCATGCTTCTTTTTGTTTCTTGCAATCTTATTTTTTATTCTCAAGCATAGTGCATAGTTGTTTCAATGACATCAATTTGTTAAGATCTTGGTTTTATTGTTATGTTGATTTTATTTTGAAATTTATCTTATTATAATAGAGACCACATGTAAGTGATCTTTTACCAAAAGAAAGGGATAAATAAATAAGTAAATAAATAAAAAATATATTCCTCGGTAAAAGATCACATAGGTCTGAAATTTATCTTATTATAATAGAGACCACATGTAAGTGATCTTTTACCAAAACAAAGGGATAAATAAATAAGTAAATAAATAAAAAATGTATTCCCCTGTAAAAGATCACATAGGTCTTTCTTTCAGCCCCTACCTCTTTCTCTAGAGGAAGCTACCTTTTCCATATTGTGATGCAAATGGGGAACACTGATTCTTTCATCCCATATAAGTATAAGGTTAGGAGTCCACACTACATAGGTAACTTTCTATAGAAATATATATCTAAAGAACTTCATTTAGAAAACTTATCAATATCAATCTAAATCCTACATAATATGGGATTTTCATATATGGGTGATTTTGGATATCACCATATCCAACAAGTGGTAATGGGTATTTTCCTTTTTTTACTAGTAAAAAAGGAAGTTTTCCTATAAAAATTAGAACTTAAAAAAAAACGATTCTCTAAATAAAAGTTGGAATGGGATGATAATAAACATTTTTACTGTGTTTTTGAGAGCACAAAGATCTAATCCGACAGAGTAGCGAGAAAGATCCATTTCGAGAGCACATAGATCATCGAGGGTATGACCCTTAAAAGAGTAGAATGACTTACCATGATTCATATAGCAGACTCCAAATAGTTGAAAAAAAGCTTTAATGATGATGATGATGATAGATCTAATCTTTAAGAAAAGAAAGAAAGTAGAACATTTCACAAAGAAAGCCCAAATTCTACCTCAAAATAAAAGGTAGCAGCACAAAGCCCAAATTCTACCTCAAAATAAAAGGTAGCAGCACATTTCTTATTGTGCAAAGGTAAGTTCAATCAATCTAATGAAAATCCCAATTTGCTCGAGGAAAATGATTAAAAAATAAAAACCTTTGAACAATTTCCTTGCACAAATTGGAATGCTATATAGATGAACTTATCAAATAGACAAAATGACGCAAATACCAGAAAGCAATAATAATTTGTTTCTAATAATTAGGGCACAAGGCAAGAATCATCTTCTCATCAACAAAATGAAGGATTAAAAATAAAGCTCTGCCACTCACCGCAAAGCTTAGCTAGTGAAAAAAAAAAGAAGAAAGAATTTTGTAGTGAGTACGAGGAAGTCTTATTAATGGGGGCCAAAATTTTATAATTTTATAATTTTGCATCGGTCTAGATAATTTGTTACAATATACATTATTTGTAGGGCTTGAAATCCTAATTTGTTTTTACAATCATAACAGTCAAGGTCGAGATGATCGATTATAGTGTCTTCCAACCGCAGAACTACAAGTTTCGATGAGTTCTAAGGTAGGGCTTTACTTATAGGACTACAATGCTATCAAAACATTTTCGCTTTGTGAATAAGCGTATAGTATGATACACATGATTTTCAAGAGTCGAGCCTTCACTTTGCTATGATCATGGGTGTTATAGAAAGTATATATTGCCGATGTACTTGTTAGGGAAATAATATTTTGTGACCGGGGCAATCTGTATAGAGCCAAGGCTTTAAACAATCAAAGTAAAGCGCACCTTCAAATAGTGTCGAAAAATGTGGTTTAAAAAATAGAAATCTTTGTGATAGCCTTAAAATATATTTTAAGGCTTGTATAGAGCCTTAAAGTAAAGCGCACCTTCAAATGTGACGGGTGCGGTTTGTATAGAGCCAAGGCGCACCCTCAAATAGTGTCGAGAAATGTGGTTTCAATAATGGAAATCTTTGTGATAGTCTCAAAATATATTTTCATCACTAATTATAAAATTTAAAGCTTATAAAACTTTCAAATCTTGAAAATTGATGGTCCAAAAATGCATTACAAGATGCACTACTTTTAAAACTTGAAATCTATTTTTTTCTCATGTACATCCATCTTGAGGTCGAGATGATCAATTTGAGGATATTTGAGCATCAAAACAACATCTTGTAGTGAAATTTTTGAGGTGAGCCCTAATTTGATTGATTAGAGCCTTGTGTCAACAATATCTTCATATTCTTATCACGTCATGTTGTATGTATATACAATACAATACATACATCAATATAGGTAGAGAGCTCTCCAGTGAAACTTGAGACTATCCGTGACTTTCGCAAATGATGGTGAGCTTAGTCAATGGTTCGAAATGTTATTTTGAGAAATCACCCCCAATCCCTGGTAAAAAATTTCAAACATGCTAGGCATATTCCGATGAGATTGAGTTGTGTTAATTAATAACAGGTAAGAACATGGAACCACCATATTTGCAGAATCTAAAATTAGGAGTCTCCAATTTCTCAGCACATTGAAATGTTCTCCTCTTCTTCCAAATTGGAGAAAATTGGTTATTGGACTTTGAAAAACAAGCCCTTCATTCTCTCAAGCACACGTTTCGTACCGTTGCTATAAATACTTGCCTTCTTGTAAGTTTGTTTTAACTGCCCCTATGAGAGAGAGAGGAGGGGGGAGAGAGAGATGGAGAATAAGGTAATGGCTGTGTTATTGGTGAGGTTAATGGTTATGGCCATGGTAGGAGAAAGAAGTGCATACTGCATTCAGAGGTGTTACAATGATTGCACGAGCCGGGAGGGCTCTTCCGTTCTCGGCGGCATCGGTCATTGCACCGGCTTCTGTGGTGCCAGTGGGAGTCCCCACCGCAAGCCAGATATACCCTTAAAAAGTTTAGAAGGTAGATAACGTCGTTTGCTTTCATGTATCTCTCCCTCTATCACCTCTCCTCTCTCTTTCTCTCCCTTCTCTGAATCAAGCTAAAAATCACAATATTTGCCTTCAGTACTTTCTCTCTCTCTCCATAATCTTATGGCAGTTGTATGAATGCAGATCATCAAGCTCGCTAAAGCATCTAGTGACACAGCCAGAATACCAAACTTGGCTATTGATGGGGGTAATTCTTGGTGGTCGATGGCCGAGTGATTTGGGAGCATGTGGGGGGCCGCTTCTTATATGTAAAAAATTTGAAGGGCGATTTTTTTAATGCGTTGGGCTATTTTTATTCTTATGTTCGTGCAACCCACAAGCTTGAGATTCAACGAGTATCTTGTTTAATGTTGAATTATGCTTTGAGTTATAATTTTCGTTCCTGCTTTCTTTTTTGTTTGAACGTTTTTTAAGACAATTTATTGCTAAAAAAGAGGACTACAAGAGATCTACATCATCGGAAATTAAAATAGAATTACACGTAACTCCTTTTTTTTGGCAGGCCCTGAGCAAGAGAATTAGCCTCCCTCTACATATATATATATATATATGT